GGCAATGTGTCTTTTACTGTAATATTTTCTTTCCTGCCTTGGATGCACAACCAATGATGCTTTCGCTGCAATCACTTTTTTTTCACTTCACTTGCAGTTTGATCTTAGAAGCATCATCAGACTGTGGAGAGATTTTATCACAATGCTAACGTTCGAACTCTGGATCGTTCAAAGTTTGAGTCATTTGAACTACAAGGCATCACTGTACTTTGCTTGCCTTACTCTGAAGGAAGATAAACAGAGCACCTTAGCATCTCCAGTCCCATTCCATCTTCTATCCATGGAAAAACTGGACAGGTAGCATTGGTGCCCATCTTACACCAGCTTCCCAAGTCCCAAATGGGGCTTGGGAAAGGTTGCATGGCAGACACCAACTCTCCCCACTTGCTCCTATGGGTTCTGTGCCATCAGAGAATGGGTGGGTTGGGGGAAAAGAGGAGACACGTGGGGCAGGCAAGGAGAAAGGATGCTCTCCCTTTTTGTTTTTTGTTTATGTCATTTCTGTACCGTCCCAGAGCCAAAGCTCTCTTTTTTCCTTCTTGAGAAAGGCAAGCAGGTGGCCTTGTTCCTGACTGCCATCAGTGCTATAGCAGAAGGTGGAATTCAGCCCACACCCCTTCTTGAGCCCAGACTGGGGCTTGGAAGGTGCTGCAGCCAAGCACCAGTGCTGCATGTGCCATGTTCCTCTTCTTTGGAAAGAAGGAGATGCACAGACAATGGAATGCTCCCTACCTCATTTTCCCACTGGGAAAATGGAAGAGCCCCGCTGCTGCACTTACCTTGCTTTTGAGGAAGACAGACAGAGCAGTTGCCGTGTTGCTTAGCAGTGGGATTCTGCAGTTGAACAGCAGGTTGCTTCATTCTGGTCTTCCAACCCAGCATGACTCAGCCCTTGTCTTCTTGCCGCATGCCTTCCCCACCTGGCATTCTTGCGGATGCCAAGAAAGTGGGATTGGTCATAAGCAATCCCACTTTACTGGCATGTGCAGGAGCTCTGGACAGGGAAGTAGATCACAGCTGTAAGGGGCCAACTTCATGCCACTGTCATCCTGTTGTCCTTAGTGCCCTCTGGAATGGAGGAGGGACACATCCCCCTGCTGTGCCTTTTGGTCTGTTACTCAGAGAGGAATTTTACCCACACTGCAGATAACATTTCCAGGGAGGTTATCACACACTCAAAGTTTTGTTTCTAAGTATGAATTGCGCCACCTTGAGTGCTATTCTTAACAGGAGAAAAAAGATATCTGAGTTCTAAATAAATACAGTGCTTTAAATTCCTTATTTATCATTGGGATTGGCCACATTATAGTAAATCTATTGATTTCAGTCATATAATTCTGTTTAATGTTTTTTGGGCTGAAGCTAAAAGTTGGATTGCTGATGGTGCTTGTTTCACTGACAATTAAATGTTGATGTTCCTAGAACTACCACCCAGAGCAGATGGTGTCACAGGTTTGGAAGAGCAGGGAGGGTAGTGGGAATAGTGCTGTACAGCTGGGAAAAGAGACTTGCTATGCCTGTTTCTCTGTATATGCCACATGATCACCACAACCCAGCAGGATGGGTTCCAGCATGAATCTTTAGGCCACGACTTGTCATGTCACCTGAGCCTGGACAGCAGAGGTTGTGCTAGGGTTTAAAAAGCCTCACGTAACTCTGGAACAAGCCATGGATTGTGCAAGTCATGTTTAACCCTCTCACACTACTTGCGTTCAGGCAACATGACAAGCCACATCTTCAATATTTGTATTGGCTACCAACACACACCACAACACATGGTGGCTTATTTAATCATGCAGACTGGCCCAGTGTATCAAATTGCATTAACTAGAGAGCTTGTGCGTGCTTTGGTACAGAAAGCTGTTGCATGCACACACAATTTCTGAAACTGAATATATTTGGAGTGCAGATCCAGAATGATGCAAAGAGAGCAAACCAGTCATTCTGAAAGGAAATCAACCCTGACTGCTCTTTAGAAGGCCAGATACTGAAGATGAAACTCAAATACTTTGGCCACCTAATGAGAAGGAAGGACTCCCTGGAGAAGAGCCTAATGCTGGGAACAATAGATAGCAAAAGAAGGGGATGGCAGAGGATGAGGTGACTAGATGGAGGCTCTGGGGCAGTGGGCGTGAGCTTGGGTGGACTTCAAGAGATGGTAGAGGACAGGAGAGCCTGGAGGAATGTTGTCCATGGGGTCGTGATGGATCGGGCATGACTTTGCAACTAAACAACAAGAAGATCCAAAATGAACGTTTGCAGGGATAGGGCAATATATCCTGTGCTGTTACCATCACTGGTCAAACAAACTTACAATAAGAGACACATATCTTTATTACTTAGCAATCTAAACCAGAAGTTTTTATACCTGCATTCAGGGTTGAGATTACTGAGTATCTGCTGTGAAAAAAGGATATAAAGAGATACTTCAATTGGTACAAAATAGAGTTGCCAGGTTGCTGATAGGGACCGGTCGTTATTCTCATATAACGCGAGTTCTCTATCAGGTACACTGGCTTCCAGTTGAAGTCCAGGCCCAGTTCAGGGTGCTGGTATTAACTTATAAAGCCCTAAATGGCTTGGGACCAGAATACCTGAAGAACCGCCTCCTTCCCTATATGCCCTCATGCCCCTTAAGATCAGCAGGGGAGGCCTTGCTCCGGGAACCCTCTTTGAAGGAGGTATGCAGGGAGTCTACCCAGAGGAGGACCTTCTCTGCAGTGGCGCCCAGACTATGAAATGTGCTCCCCAGAGAGGTCCGCCTGGCGCCAACTTTATACTCTCCTGCGCCAGGTAAAGACCTTTTTATTCAACCATCATTTTAATAACTAAGGTTTTAAAATGTGTTAAGATCTTTTTTTTCACAGTCACATTTTCTATTCTACTCTTTCTTTCTCTCTTTCCCTTAGTTTTATGAAATATTTTATACTGATTTAATATTTACCATTTTAATTATTAAATTATTGTAAGCATTTTAAATCATTGTAAGCCGTCTTGAGCCGTTCGCCAGAAAGGACATGATATAAATTTTTCAAATAAATAAAAGTACATAATAGAGATTTTACCTTAATGTGTATGTTTCTAGTTTTCCCATTTGTAGAAGGCTTCTGAATCATCAAACTAGATCCTTCCAGTTGCTAGTTTTGTTTCACTCTCCTCACCCCAAGTTTTTCTCCCTTGGATTTCATGTTAGTCATGTTGCTTCTATCATTCATTGTTTTTTCTGTTTTACCACCCCACCATCATTATGGTGTTCTGGGTTATCTTCTCTTCTTCCAAACCATCAGAGAGAACAATGAGCTAAGTTTACAGCTGAACAAGCTAAAATATTGATTGGTCAGGCTGCAACAAATGCTCTCGCTGGGGTGAGCGCGGTGCTGCCCTCCGACAAGCTTGCAGCGTGGCTACCTTCCTCCCAGCTCTGACGCTGCAGAGGAGGGCTGGCCAGCCGGGCAACTGTGCAGTGATCCCTGCCAGCTACTCTCCTCCAAAGTTCAGAGGAAGGTTGGGATGGCTGGGCAGCTGGCAACCACTACCCCTTGCTGGCCTCTTCTGCTTCAGAGCAAAAGGAAGGAAGTGCTGGGAGCTGTTATCTTTTCCTTCAGAAAGCTCAGGTGGGAGGGGAGCGCTGGACACTGCAGCCTGGAAGAGCACAGGACACCCCAAAGCACACATTTCTCCCTCCAGCCTTTTCCTCCAGGAAGACTCTGCATTCACATACTGCCTTTCCCCATACCATCTTCACTTTGCATCTGAGAATGTCATCAGTGTGTTGAGAATATCCAGCTGAAAATTTTGAATCCTGTTGATTGGTATTTGCTTTCATTTATTTCCTGCACCGCCTTTTCTGCATTCTTACATCTATGCCTTTGTCATTAGTCATAGCTTATTTAGAAAACAGAAGTTGCCAGCAAGGATAGAATGGACAGAAGCGTCATCAGATTTTGCAGTTTGAATATCTTTTTAACAGGCATTAGAAGCATAAATAACAAGTGGGCAGTCTATCTATGAATCTATAATTTAGTATGCAACAAATAAGTTGGAGTATTTTGACAAATTATTACAAAGAGAAAAAAAAACTACACTGTGCCACTGTGTTTGGAATCCTCTCTCCTTGCACTCCCCCTTCCCTTAAATTAGTTTCTGTTTCCTTTCCTCATTTAATTAATATTTCAGTGAATTAGGAAAACGGTAGATTAGAAACTTTCAGTGCTGTTGAGGATCTGAGATTCTATCTGTGGATGCACTGAACATTTTTAACTCTCTCTGGTGGTAAATAACTACTCCTGCAGTGAACAGATAAGATTATGGGGTTGGGGGAGTACTGTAATGGCCAGGGATCAGTAGCCATGAAGTTTTGAAGTTGTTTTGCTACTCTCATCCTTAGAGAGGAACTAGATTGTTTTGGTGACTAGTACTAGACATCTTCTGTGAAACTTGCCACAAACAGTCAAGCTAACGTGCATTCATTTTTGGTCATTTCCTCATTCTATAGACAACTGGCCCTAAAGGCACTGAATGAGCGGTTGAAGCGTGTGGAAGATCAGTCAGCATGGCCTAGCATGGAGGATGATGAAGAGGAAAGTACCAAGGCTGACACTCCATTGCTACCAGAGAAGAGTCGGGACTTTGCCACTGCAGGAAAAGCAACTGGCCAGGAATCCAGCATCATTACCTTTGAAGATGCCCCCTCTCAGTTGTGACCATGAAGCACCTGCTCTCCCTTTCTGCCTGTTCCTGTATGTCAGAGCTGCTAATGACCCTTTCTGTGCTCTCCCTCACAGTGCTGCCTGTTTTGCAGGGAGTGAAACACTAAGCCTGCCAGCCCTTGGAGGCTACCTCCTCCCTTTCGACATTTATTAGCCACATGTGGCTGATGCCAGGTCTCAGAACTCCCCGGTGAAAACTGTGAACTGTTACACAGACCTGGGATTTTGTTGGTTCTCTTCAGAGAGGTGCCTGGAACTGAAACTTAGAATTGGCAGGGAAGGAAGAAGAATCCACATCGCTTCAGTTCAGTATGGAGCATCCCATCTGAATAAAAAATCCTGCGAAATCACCCCAACCAGTAGCTGCCATTGTGGCTATTAACACATGTCTGTTCTGTGTGTAGCTCCTTTTGACGGCAGTTCTGGTTAATCTAAATAGGGCCCTGTCCTGTTGGGTCCACTCATCCTTTTGAACTTCAAGGGCCAGGCTATTACATCAGCCCAACCAAGGTAACAAAGAGCAAGCTCAGCAAGTGATATGACACTTTCCCTCCTAATTTCATTTTATTTTAGTAGCAATCGTTGTCAAAAAATAACTATAGCCTTTTCCTTCCATAGTTTTGTTATTGATTAAATGAGCATGCACTGCTTTTAAAAAAAAAAAAAACAACAAACCTTTGATTGTATTTACCTTTCCCCTCCCTGCTCCAAAAAAGTTTAGTAACCTTGGTGAGCCCTGCCAAAACCAGCTGCTGGATTGTGTTCTTACAGAACCAGCAGTTGAAATCCTTGTAATCACATTGTAACCACTTAGGTTCACCCCTTGAATTTTTGAAAATGAAGATTTTGGGAATAGAAAACAGCTTGTTTCTAGTATGTGAACTACCACGTGAAAAAGCATCATCTGAGACTTTACATAGGACTCCTAGAGGGAATTAATTTTGTTATTCCTTGACTTTTTTCTTTGTTTCCCTTTGCAGTGATTCAAGTGGTAAAGCAGCTTCTGTCTTAGGTGGGGTGTCAGCGCATTCAGGGGCTTTCAGAATGAACTTTTTTCCTACAGTAGAATATATGTTTCTAGTTCAGTTTTATTTTTAAAGGTGCTTCTTGTGGGCCTCTTGACAACTCCTCTGATGCCTGCTTTTTCTCTTTGGTTAGATCATTATCCTCTTCCTCTCCTATGGGCTGAGATGCTTCTTTGTGGGGCAACGAGCCCTAAGATGTTTCGCCTTGACACCTAGCCTCCAAATGGTATTCCTCTCCCAGTTGGGGGACTGGGTGGGGGACACAGCAGAATGGGAAAAAGTGTGACACAGTGTTGTGATAATTTTTTTTAAAGGACCACATGAGAAGGTTTTTGTCAACCAGGAAATACACAAATTTCAGTATCAATAAACAGTCTTTCAAAGAGTGCCTCTTGACTGGTTTTGTAACCCCCCTTTTATCATAATAACTCCTAGATAGGAATCCCAAACCACTTTTAATAGCAGTCAGCATTTTTAATATAAGAGGATGTTGAGTTGCAGTAACAAAGTTTTAAATTTGTAGTCTCCTCTTAAAACTTCTGGATGTTGGGATCTTCCTTTCTTTTGTTGAATTCATTACATTTCAATGTTTTTAAAAAATGTCTAGACTTCTACTGGAGAAGTGAGAAATAAGGCTGAAAGGGGAACGGGTAGAGAAGGAGTAGATTTAATGGCAAAAAGATTGAAATTGCTTCAATTCAGAAGTTTCTAGACTTCTTTTCAGATAATGTTTACTCATTTTATTTCGAACCTCCTTTGTTCAAGGAATTCAGGATGGTGAACCTTGTAAGGTACGCAAGTTAGGCTGAAAGCTGCTGACTACCCCAAATTCACCCAAGGCTGAATGGAGGACCAAAGTGTCCCTGAACCAAGTTCAATGCTACCTAATATACTGGCTCCCAACAGATAACTTCTTGGCCCTTAAATGTCTCAGGGTTTAATATACATCTCCTTAATGCAAGCAGTTGAATCTTTCTCCAAGATTGGCAATGGTGCAGCATCCTTCCCAACACCAGAAGGCAATGAGCCATCTTTGGAGGTGCAGGGCAGGCCTGTTGGTCCACAACATGTTCCTCCAATAGCTTGTTGCTGCCTGAAGCATCTTGCTCACATTGCTGAGCCTTGCTGAGCATGTGCCTTGGTGCAGCTCTAAGTAGTTGTATTTGAAAATTTTCTGTACGGTTGTTCTAAATAAGGAAGGGAAAATCTGCCTGTTTATCTAAATTCTCTCAGTTTTCACTGAAGAGATAAGGCATCATTTAATGTTTTTCTAATATGTTTCAATAGGAGGAGAATATATATGGAAAACCCTCCATTTTTACTACCTTATGTCTTTATATTATGGATGAAATTCAGTTCATACGAGTAGGTTCTATAGGATGTTTGAATAGTAGGTACTGCATTGGCTCCTATGGGTCAGCAGTATTCTCACTGTTCCATTTGATCTTTCCTTGGCAAAAACCAAAAGGCTCTAGTAAAATCACAGAAAGAAATTCTGCTTGCTTTGTCATGTAAACAAAATTTTGGACTTCTGAGAATGGAAAGATTTCAGTACCAGCAGATACTTCAAACTGGCCAGTGTCTCCTCACCATTTACTTCCACCTTAGAAGCTTCCCATTCCTTAATAAAAAGCAAGAACTTTCATGGTATTGAAACCTTCTGTGTTTGTGAATGCTTCTAATAGCAAATAGGCTATTCTTATTTTATTATCCTATTTCAAGCACATCATATACAATGGAGTATTCTTGAAGGCATAGGAGAATTTTACACTCTTCCCAGTATGGTTGTTTTATACACAATGCTAAAAATAATGTAGTTCTCTACTAACACTGTTGCAGTGCCATCTATTGGTAATATTTGGCATGATGATTACTACTGGAGAAAACTATTAGTAGATCAACAGATACATTCACAGAATCAGAGTTCTAGATCTTAGAAACAGGGAAAACAGAAACAGAGTCAGAAGGGGCCTCCTGGGCCATCTAGCCTATCCCTCAGCTCTGGCCAGCTCCGCTCATGACATGCCTACCATTTGCATGTTCAGCCTATTCTTAAACACCCTCACAAATGGGGCTTCAACCACCTCTCATGGAAGCCCATTCCATACCCTAAGGGAAGTAACCGTCAGGAAGTACTTTCTGGCATCCACCCTAAATCTTGATTCCCTGAGCTTTGCTCCATTGGAACATGTCCTGACCTCTACTGCAGAGAAAAAAGGTCATGACCCACCTCTGTGGCACCCCCTCACATACCTCTGTGTTGCTAACAGGTCCCCTCTGAGTCTCCTCTCAAGGTTGAAAAGACCCAGTTCTCTCAGTCTCTCACATGGCTTACCCTGCAAACCACCCACCGTCCTAGTGGCCCGTTGCTGCACTGATTCCAACCTTGCTATATCCCTCTTGTAATGAGGGGCCCAGAATTGAACACAATGCTCCAGTGTCATATAGAATGACAGAAAAGGATCTCTCAATCTAGAACCCACGCTTCTGGCTATGCATCTAAGGGTGGCGTTTGCCCTCTTGACTGCCACATCACACTGGTGGCTCATGTTTAGCCTGTAGTTGACCAGCACCCCGAGATCCTTTCCACAAGTGCTGCTCTCCAGCCACTTGTCCCCTAACCTGTACTTTGGACACCCATTTCTACACCCCAAGTGCAAAACCTTGCACTTGCCTACATTGAACACCATCCTGTTGTCCCCTGTCCACTTCCATAGTCTGTCCAGATCCTTTTGAATCCAGTGTACCTGCTCCTCAGTTCTAGCCGCCACCCCCATTTAGTATCATCGCAAATTTGATCTGCAGACTTGTCACCCCCTTCTCCAGGTCATTGATGGAAAGATTGAACAGGATCAGTCCCAGGACTGGGCCCCAGGGGATCCCACTTATCACTGTCCGCCATCCAGATGTTTCCCCACTAATAGTAACCCTCTGCTTTCTGTCCATCGGCCATGCCCTAATCCATTGGACAGTGCATCGGTCTATCCCAGAACTCAATTTCTCAACCAGGATATCATGCCGCACTTTGTCTAAGGCCTTGCTGAAATCCAGGTAAACCACATCCACGGCATCCCCTCTGTCTAGCCACCTTGAAACCTTGTCATAGAATTCCACAAGGTTCATCTGGCAGAACCTGTTTTTGCGGAAACCGTGTTGTGTGGCCACCAACCTCCCTTCCCTATCTAGGGACCCCAGAGCATTTCCTATTATAAACCTTTCCATTGTCTTTCCCATTGTCTTTTTGACCTTGTAGGCCATCTGTTCTGTGCAGGAAAACCAGGGCCAGGACATACCCAGCAGATCAATTTCCTCTTGAAAACCTCAAAAGGACATGAAAAGTGCCCTGCTAGATCAGCTCGAAGGCCCATCTCATCCAGCAATGTGTTTTCCACAGCAGCCTACTAGGTATCTCTGGAGAGCCTCTCCACTCTGGATAATTGAGAACACTGTCAGACTGTTCTACTGTTAAGAAGTTTTCTCTAGTGTTTAGTCAAAATCTGCTTGCCCATATCTTTTAAGTCCATTACATCTGGCCTTGTCCTCTGGGGCAGCAGAGAAGTTTTACCTCTCATCTGTGTGAGAGCAGACCTTCAGATATTGGATGAGTGCTTTCATGTTTCCCTGCAACCTTCTCCAGTCCAAGTATACAAAATTCATTCATTCCCTCATACAACTTGCTTTCCATACCACTGAGTATCTTTGCTTTCCTGCTCTGAACTCTGGAAATTCCAGTTTATTTCCTCAAAGTCACTCACCCGAAACTGGACAAAATATTCTTGATAAGGTCTGTCTAGTGCAACAATATGCAGTTAGAACTTGTTTGTTTATTGGACTTTTATTCCTCCCCATTAGTCATAACTTAGAAATTGTGGTCCTATTAGTGCAGCTTAAAATTGCTTTTCCCCCCTGCAGCTGCATCACATTGCCAACTGGTGCTTAGCTTGGGATTGGCTAAAATATTGAAAACTTTTTTCAGATGTATCACTGCCAAGGCAGATACTACTCAACTTTTACATTTCATTTTTCCCCCTAACTATAAAACAAGAAGTCATTTGCCTCTGTTGAATTTCATTTCAACAATTACAGCTTGGTTTGCGTTCTCTCAGCATCTTCCGAAGTGTTACCATGTTTTGTCATCTTCAGATCTGAAAAGTATTCCTTCCATCAGAATCATTGATAATGGTGTACTGGGCCCAAGAAAGGTACTGGGGGGAGCTTTGTTAAATGATTTGGTGAAGTCAGGATGAATCACTTGCACAACATTCTTACAAGTCTCTGATAATGCAATTAAAAGGAGAGAGAGGGCTAGTCTAGTAGGATGTAGGCTTGACAAATAGATCCTGGAGTGGGGGATAGGGAAGTGGGGGCTTTTTTATGTCTAGTGATGGTGTTTCAGAGGAGGAAAGGGAGCGGGTGGAGAAGTTCAAGTTAAATTATAACATGGCCTTTCTGATATCAGCTTCCTGCCCACTGGAATGATCCTTTCCTCACTCTCCAATGTATTTTTTCCAACCTTGGGGGCCAGCCAGCATGGTTCTCCGCACACCAGCTGTGAGGAGGCAGGGGGAGACATCTCTGACTCTCCCTTCAACAGTTGGAGCATTGTCTCAAGGGGAGAATCCCCATTCTCCTGTGGCCTTTCAGACAGTATCTTAAGGGCCACAGGACCGCTTCCTTATTACCATAAGATGACCCTGAAGACTTGAACTAACTTAAGATAACTAAGTTATTTTGTGATCAGCTCCTTACCAGTCTTGAGCTACAATCCTAACCCCACAAGTCACACTATAGAAGGCTGCACACATTTCCTTTTTTTAGGAGATGAAGCTCCCCTTCCTGATGCCACGTGTTTATTTCGCAATACCTACAGAGCAGTGAACTTACTGTTCCTTATGTTTTGAACATACCCAAACAGCCTTTTTCTTGTTCTTACTATCACTTGCAATGGTTCATTCTAACCTTTAGCTTTCCAGATACTCTCTGTACAACTGTGAACTATTCATCGGTACACATCCCTAGTCACTTAAACATGTTGTCTTTTTACTTTTTGCTCTTTACAATCAATTTTTGCAGCCCCATGTGTGTGCACTTGCATGTGTTTAGATATATCCTATTTTTCATTCTCATTGGAATTGTTCGTGCTTGAACCTCTTACAGTCAGTAACTGTCATAAATTTTAGACTCCTTTCCCTACTAGTGCACGTAGCCACGGAATCCTGCTAGCAATTCTTTGACTATTATTGATGTCATATTGCTGGAAATCTAAGGTACATGGATTCCAACATTATGAGGTCACTTCCCCAAAAGTTCCTGCTGCTTTAATCTTATTAACTAACTTTCATATTGGATGAAATCAAGTCAAGAACAGATAATTCCCTCTTTCCTTCCTCTATGTTTTTGAAGAAGTTTTTAATACATTTAATTTCAGGTTTCCTAGGCTTACCTAAAGTTTTAGGTTTGGGATGACTTTTGATTGGTCAGGAGCAGGTACATTTTTGTGGCTGGGGATAACAAGTGTAAAACCCTCATGTCTCACATTTGAAACACAAAATACCAGATAATCAAAAAACTGATGACAGATGGCAACCCTACCTCTGCTTATCCTGCATACAAGCGTGGGGAGCCGATATACATTGACTGTGAGGAGCAGGCACAAGTTATGCTCATGGCCATTCTGACTGCTAAATTACCACCTGATAGCTTGAAAGCACTCCATGAAAAGTTTCTTAAAACGCTACTTCTCCAAGCGAGTTGAAGACCGGATTCCTGAATAATTAAAGGAAGTATGGTGAGTGGCAATGACTGGCTGATAGCCCTGCTTTCACAAGGGCTAGACACCCCCTTCTGACTGCCGACATGACATCCCTCCATAACTGAGCAACGGTGGCAAGTGGATCAGGAGGGAATAAAATGAACCAGGTGGAAACACTCCAGAGCCACTACAGCTGTGTGAAAGCTTTATTTGATAGAGCACTCTTGAGTACAGATTATCTTTCCTAGATCAGACTCAAGGAGGGGTCCACCTTCAGAGAAGGCCATCACACCAACGGCATGGAAAACATTTTGTCTGGGCAGCCTCAGCTTCGGTGCAGGACACAATGTTTCTGAAACTACAAAATTTGCATGACAGTATGTCTGACAGGAGGAGGCAGTGGTTATTTCAGACAGATTAATTGCTATATATACAATGAGGGTGAAGTAAGCATCTCAGATGAGATGATGCCCATTGCAGGTGTTGGAGAACTGGTTTCACACACAAAGAAATGGTGGGGAGTCTTTCCATAGTAAAGATCGCTAAGTAACCTTTTAATTTTTGGAAGAAACCATAATACTGCATGGAAAAGTATACGCTGAAGCAAATTACATTGCATGGGATATCTAAGGCACATACTACTGGAAACCGTAGGTAATTAAGGCACAATCCTATGCAGGATTAGACAGAAAAAAGTCCTACAACTTCAAGCATTCTCCAGCCAGCCATGCTAGTCAGGACTTGCTGGAAATTGTAGGACTACTATCTAAACATGCATAAGATTGCACCCTTAAATGCTGATCCCCTAGACCCTCTGTACTGCTGTTTGGTGACATATCCAAAGCTACTCTGTACATAGGCATCAGTCTTCCCTCCTGCAACCAAATAAGCAGGTTTCAGTCTGAGGAAAGAAGCTACAGTCCATGTCAAAATAAGTCCCCTTGAAAATAATGAGACTTAAGTCCACTACTATTTCACTAGAGTCAACAAAATTAATCACAACTTTAGCTGGGTCAGAGCTTCATGACTCAACTTTCATGCAACTATGGTCTTGGCATCCTCTCCTTTTAACCAAGGGCCTTAGGTTTTCCTATTTGACTCCTGTCTTACAAAGGTAGTTCTCACTTGCTTTCACTAGAGAATGAGAGTAAAATAGAGACAACTCTCATTGACAAGCCATGGCTGGTAGAAATCTTCACATTCACTGTTACTGAAGAAGCTTCAATTTGCTATAAACAAAACTTAAGTTGGGAGGTAAGCTGTCATTAACATGATAGGTAATGATAACTTTATTATTTTAAAAGAGAAGGTATTGGTTCTTGCCTTGGAAAAACAAGCGCGGTAACCCCCAACCTGGTGGCCTTCACAGGCATTTAGACCACAACTCCCAAAATTCCCATCTATGAGGGTCATTGACTGGGAACTCTGGGTACTGCAGTCCAAATGTGTCTGGAAGACACAAGGTTGGGGAAGGCTGACTTAGTCTGCACAGACCACAGAAACTTACCCGTGCTGCTCTGAAGGACCATTCATGACTCTTGCCATACCTATGCAGAAAGTCCTATGTAGGAATTAAGTGCGCAGATAAATGCACATCTCAGTCATACACATGTATTTTGCTGCATGCGTACTCATTACACCTTGGTGGCATAGCATGTTCTGTCCCCTTCTTGCCCAACCTAGTGCTGTCCAGCTGTTTTGGACTGCGATTTCCATCCTTTGCCATCATCTGAACTATTGGGAGTTGTAGTCCAATACATCTGGAAAGCACCCAGTTAGGAAAAATCTGTTCCATGGAGCAGTCCCGAGGCTGTGAGGAAAAGGAGAGCCCGCCTCTGTCCTTAGTGCTGTGCTTCTATGAACATGGCTGCAAGGCCTTGCCTATTTACTAGTACCAGGAGACACAATCAATTCAGTGATGGGAGCTTTGGCCTGCAGCAGGACGACACATGTGCAGGTAGTATTCTAACCTTTGTGCTTGGTTCAGGGAGCGACCGTTGAACACCAGCCCTATTTACCAAGCTGTAAAATGAAGCCAACTTTCACCTCTCACATAAAGGTGACTGTCAGCATTCAAGGACTCTGGAACCCTCCAAAAGAAACAATTGAGCAAATCTTTTCCCTTGTGGAAGGGCTCAGCATGTGTGATCCTGGGGTCCCTGTTCTGCTTAACTGTGCAAAATCTCAGGGAACAGATTCAGCAAGCCTTTGAGGTCTTCACATAGCACGAGAAATTATAACAGGCCAGTGAGCTCCTTCCAAATTCCACATACGATCATGGAAGGCATTCAGAGAGGAGGTCCTAATCTTACCAAGCTTTACACCTATGGCAGTGAAGCCTCACCATGAACAAGAAGTGTCAATCCAGTAGGAAGCAGTCAGAGATGAGCAGCATAAAGAGGGCAACGAGAGACTAGATCCAAAAGACATTGTCTCCCAATGTACAACTGAGGGCAGTGGGGCCTATGTTCATGTATCTGCACAAGATCACAACTTCTGCCCATTTCACATACTTTCCAACAGGGAAAATGAGAAGAAACTCTCCCCCTCTTCTTATGAGGAGGTGTGCTACTACTTCCAAAAGTCATCTTTTTTTGCTTGGCAATATCTAAATCTGCCACAGCAAGAGACAAATGGTTTGTATCCATTTTTTTCCAGTCCCAGGTGGAACCCAAGGCAGACAGAAGTAAACAAGTAACCAGTCAAGTCTGTCTAAATTAAATGGGAATAAACTGCACTGACCTCAGTGGGACATATATATGGAATGGTGGAACGACCTTAAAATGTATAGGATTGCCCTGTAAGTGTCTCTAATGGCATATGACAGAGGAAGGCAAAAATGCCAGAGAAACAGAGTGGGGAAAGATGTACAACAGAAAGAATAGGCATGAGGAGCGGGGAGCTGGAAAAAGCACAGAGAAAGGGATTTGGCCCCCAGCTGGTGAGGTGGGCTATGTGCATTAAAGCGTACCATCCAAAATACTGGCCACAAACTTCTTATACATTATGCAATAAAAAAAGGAATTGTAACTCTTATCTTTCTTGCAACTGCTATTCTGTCCAGAATCCATCAAACTATTTGTGCAAAAAGTTCTTGTTCATCGCTTTGTCCTCCCAGCAGACTGTTACTGGTTTACTCTGTCATCATTTTAGAAGCATTAGAACATAGCAAACTGGAAAGCCATTGCTAAATGCTCCCTGACACACATACTTTGCAACTAAGAAAGGCAGGGGCAAGCTTAACCTCTTCGAAGTAAAATGTTTGGGGTGCCACTGTGCAATCTCTTTAAAATGGCACCCGTTATATTGCAGGAGATGGAGAGGAACAAGGCCTGCATCAGCCTTCCCCAGGCCTGTGCCTTCCGAATGTATTAGAGTCTCATGCTAAGCATGGCTGGCTGGCACATGCTTAGAGGTGCTGTTCAACACATCCAGAAGGCACCCAGGTGGGGAAGGTTACTTCGTGTGCGTTTGAAACCTAGAAAAGCAATGGCTGAGGGAAGCATCCAGTGCCCCCATCATCTTCTGCCACTTTTTCTTCCATATTTTGCCTCCCTTGCACAAAGCAGCTTATATTTCTTTAAAAAGCATATGACATGGTATTAGCCCCTGACTGATACATATTCATTGTGCTATTTGTGCATAATGACAGCTTGGTATGACTTAATTTACCCGTGGGGGTGTTGTGCCATGCACGGCACCTGGCTTGCCACGTCATGCAGACTCAGACAGCTTATGTTGTTTGTGGACCCTCAAATAGCCCCAAAGCAAGCCACAGATTATTTGTGGGTTAACCCCCAAACAACCCTGCCCCTTGGGTTCACAAGTTCGGCACCATGCAAGAATGGTGGACATGGGCAACCAGCCTGACACAACACCCCCTGAGAGTAAATTAAGCCACAAAAAGCTGTCATGTCATGTGAACCAGGACATTACATGGCCACACCTGATGCTGCTTGCTTCATATGGTTTGTCTGCTAGTGCGTTTAAGGTGAAGCTCTGGCCTTTGCTTAAAAAATAACAATTTTGTTTTGAGGAGAGGCTAGCCCTTTCCACCTTCAGGTGGAATGCTAGAAAATGTCTCACTGTTCGCCAAGTCCATCCACATCACTTCCGCAGACCAAAGATTCAACCAAAAGGAAGGCTGCAGGACCAAAGGGAGTTTTGCCTGTGCTTAGGTTGGGATTCCTTCATCTCCAGCAGCTGGCTGGATCCAGAAAAGGCGAAGCGATACGTCTGTTGTTCTTTTGCAAGGCAGCATCAGCAGGCTGCAGCGGGACCACTGTGCAGCACCAGCAAAGACGAACTTCCAGAGACATTCACATGGAACGCTGCCCGGGCACTGGCACGACGAGGAAACTGGTTCAACAATAGAAGCATCTCTGGGATGTAAACAGTGGGGTGGGGAAAGTCCGTGAGATTTTAAAATGCCGTACAAAGTCATAGGCAGGTAAAAAGAGATGGTTCCATCCCAGAGGGCTTTAATGAGAATTCTGGAACTCTCTTCAAGGATCCCACACACTGTCTATACCAGGCAGGCTTTCAGGGCTGGATCCTTTTGCGGTAGAGGTAAGCGTTGCTCACTTGGTTCATGATAACCAGGCTGGTGAGGACAGGACACAGGAAAGACAGATACCAGGCGGCTCCAGTCAGCGATGTGGTGAACCAGAGGGAGCACATCCCCAGCATCAAACTGGCACAGCCAAGGAGGTACCCTATCAGCCCTGATGTGGCGTGGTAAAGCTTGAGCTTGCTCAGGGTCCAGTTCTTCAGCAGCTTGGGGTACAGCAGAGCCAGCCCACCCAGGCACTGCATGCTGGCGTACAGCACTGTCAACAAGCCCGTCTGGCCATGCCAGGTGACAAAGTGGTCCTTCCCATTGAGGTACTTGTTATAGCTGATGATGGCCAGGCCCAGCACGGCACAGATGAGGGAGAGCACCTGCAAAGCCCAGTGGAAGCGGACCTTGGCTTTCCGGGAGAAGGACCGGAGCAGGGAACTTTCTGGAGAGAAAGTCAGCAGGGCTTCTGTCATCAAGAAGGAAAACTGGGAAGAGTAAGAAGAAAGCTGATTGCCATGGCTTGCCAGCTTGAAGTGAACACTAAAAAGAGCTTTTGTTCCCAAGGAAACCAAAAAAGACTTCCCCATTTAAAGAGTTTAAGTGAGTTGGAGAGTTCCGCCAGGCACTCGACCAGACATTGTTCTGACAATGGGCACCTCCGTTCTCTCAAGGAGCCACAAAACCATTACAGTGAACCCCATCCATAAGATTAGGAGCTGCTAGGGGTAAGCATTGCACGCTTTAAGTTTAGTGTTGAACCTGAAAGCTACTAGCCAGGAACCCTGAATTCCAGACCCATAAACAGGCAGGAACAGCTGCATCCCCTCTTCATTTCCCAGCTCCTCTGTGCCCAAGTCATCTTCAGACTCTGCAATAACCTAACAAAGCCACTTTGTTTCCCAGAATGATCACTGAACTGAACAACTCCCAATACAGATCAGATAAGGGGTTATGGTTAGTAATTTGGGAAGATGGTGGCAGAGAATGCTTTTGGCTTGGCTTACCGCAAGAGACATTAGGAGAGGATGCCAGGAGAACAAACCTGGAAAGAAAGGAGAGCAAAATGAGTCCATGCAGTCTGCTCCACTAACACAAACCTGAAAATTTACTGCCTCCCCTTCAAATGGGATATGCCTTTTTAAGTCTTAGGTGTAATCCATGTGTGACTTAAGAACACGGGGCTACCCCCTCCAGGGTCAGGCCAAAGGCTCATCTAGTCTAGCCCTTCTGCTCCCAACTCCCACCCTACCCAGCAGCTGACCAGATGCCTGTCAGAAGCCCACAAGCAGGGCAATCCGAAATTGACCAAAATCACACATCACTGTTGGTGCTGAACAGAGACACAGTGCCATTAAGGATGCCGCCAGGCAGAAGGTTCCTAACACTGCTGATTAGGACACTTTGTGCAGCTCTTCCGTCTTTCCCTCTTCAACACTACATGCGCATGCATGCGTGTGTCTGTGTGTCAAGTCAGAAAAAAGATGGAAACAACAGCAGGAGAACACAAGAGGGCTAGAAATGGAAGATGACAATATCTGGACCCACTACATAATTTTGTGTTTGTGGCAGGGCAACTGCACACTGAAAAACTTGTCTGGAAGCCCTCCTCATTTACTGGGTGCCTCATCTCACACACTAAATTGAGAAAGAAACAAAACATGGACTCCCAAAAATAAACATAATGAAGTAACTATAAGATCACAAATACTGGGGGGAATAACCCACTCCAATCAAATTATATCAATTCCAAAAAGATGGCCAAATTCATTGGTTGCAGTAAAATCAACAAAACAGCGCATGGCACCTTAAAGCTACCCGTTGATAGTGGCTTAAACTGTTTGTAGATCATGAAAGCTTATGCCACACAATAGCATTGCATCAAGATTAAAGCTGGATCAATTATGCTGACGGAACCAGGCCTTCCCACCCCTCCTTCACATAGCCGTGTCAGTCCCCTGAAAATGCTACAGAGAGCCAGGAGAACCTACTGAATGGACTGAACAATGGTGTGTGTGTGGGGGGGGATCCCTAAAAAGCAGATATGGAGGGGTCTTCCTGGATCCAATCCTAAATCTTTTTAAGGTGCTACGAGACCAATCATTGTTTCTAAAATTAGATATAACACTGACCACACCTACATTGAAAGACAAATTATTATTTTGAGCAAGTGTGTCCTGTGAGTTTACAACAGTGTATACATTGCCTTGTGCCAAAGTTCCTAAGTCACTATTGAAAATGGGGCAGGCGATCTCATCTATAGCCACTGCTTGCATTCAAGACTCTTATTTCATTGTGAGAGGCTGCAAGTTTATTCCTCTGAAGCATTCAGGCTGGTAACCAGATCTCTGGAAATGTTGCAGGTGAAGGATCAACTTACTATCGCAAAGCTCACATATTGCATTTGGTAATGGAACAACAGAAATGAAACACCAATTGGCACAAAAATATACTGGCCCAATTCCTTCCAATGGCTCAAATCTAGCCACAGTTAACCTTATGATTTACCTTAACACAACTGGTAGCTCTGGAGGTCCTTGTCTGCATCAAAGTCTTTTTGGAAGAGTGTTAGGATGGGTAGGTGCATCAGGGTTCTTTCAATGGACTGGGTCAGCCATCCGATATCTAATGCCTGGCAGTAGCCATTCCTATCAGTTTAAGCCAGGTAGTGGCAACTTGTGACCCTCCCAATGTGGTTGGACTGCAACTTCCATCTGCTTCGGCTAGCACAGCCAGTGGTGAGGGATTGCAGGAGAACAGCTGAAGGGCCACAAGCTGCCCACCTGTTTAGAACCTGCCACTTCTCCCAATTCTATTCAAGACAGAGCCCAAATGCTTCAAAAGCCGAACAGCTAGACCCTGCACAGATTTAAGTCCCCTGAAATCAACTCTTGATAAGACTGGAATGTAAGTCCTATTGAATTTCTTAGTGAATTGTTGAATTTTATGCATATGCAAGACAGAATTTGGTATTGGTACCTTCCTTCAAAGATTCCTGCTTGTGCCTTCATTTTCTCAGTCTTATCTACTACTATAAGAGAGTATCTATCCATACATTTACCACATTCCCTACTTACTTGATCCAGGTCTGGCAAGTACAGCTACAAAGATGGTAAATCCGAGGGAGACAAAGTGTGCAGTGGCACCAAAGATGGCCCTAAGGGAATGATATATCCGTGATTCCATTTCAACCGTCAGAGCCATGTCTTCTTTAGTACACTTTACAAGAGGTTGGCCTTCCACTGTCCAGCAGTTCTGGTTTCTTGACGCCGTTTGCTGCACTGGATCAGCTTTCCCAGCACATTAAGGCAAGGGAAATCGAAAGAGTCCTTTTACCTTAGAACAAAACTCTTCTATCTCCTCTCACGTTTTTGTAAGTCCTCTGGTAGGGTTGTGCGGGGAGGAAAAGAGAATATTTTGAAAAGCAGTTACTCAGTAAAAGCTGTCAAGAAACAACACAAACCCACAAACATTTCACAGATGGCTTAAGAGCAAACCAAAGAAAAATCTACCAGGAGAGGTCATTCTCGCACTTCAGAATTACCACATCAGTGCCTCAGCAGTCTGTCCAAAAAGTCAATGGCTTTCGGCAGCTGAACTCTTCCTTCATGTCCATGTTACTTTCATGCCCACACGTCTTTTCCACCTTCCAGCCCTCAGTCTAACTGCAACAGCTGTACTCATAATGTTATGATACGAGTCTGCAACACAATATCCCAGTGTAGAGTGCTTCTGTTCAGGGTTCCAACCACTGAATTGCAAGTGTGCATCCTGAATAGAGACCAATCACATATCGTGATCATATTTGCATGCATTTCACTGTCTGTGCACAAACTTGTGGCCAACTGTAGGTTCCCACTATGTATAAAGGTAGCAATATTCAGACAACTGCTATCACATGGGTTGCACACCCACTTTGACCAGCATAGGGATTTTTTTAACAGATGAAGTGACTCTGAGTAAAAAACCAAATTGAACTTCATTCCTTTGTACTCACCAGATCGCTCTTAAGAATATAAGAGCTGTAATGGATTAGACAGAAGTCTGGTCAAATTCCACATTCCATTATGCACCTCTGCTATGTTTCTGTGCTGAATAATAACAACTGCAATCATGGCTTTATTCTTTTAAATTAGTGTGTGTGCGTGTGTGTATGCACACACCTTTTAACTTTTGCTTAATTTTAAATTTTGTTAACCTCACAGAGAACCTCAGCTATGGTGTGTTATAAAATGCATTAAATAATAAACAAATTCTATTCTTCTATGTCTAGGGGAATCCACTTGCACTGTCCCAAATTCCCCAGAAATTGGCATTCAGAGACATACTGCCGCTGATATTGGAGGTAGCATTTAGCTGATAGCCTTATCTTCTGTGAAATGCTGCAATCACCTGTTCCCTCATCACTACAAGCGAATTCCATACCGCAGGTGGCCCCTTGGTACCATTGCAGGATTAACGAAAGAATGAGAATGGAATTGATACATGCTAAGGAGTTGGGTCACAATGAGGTTCTGATCCACCTGGGGGAAAATGAGGACACTCATATACAGAATTACACTCTCAGCCAAACACCTATTCAGAGGAAGAAAGTTCAGTCCTTTCCTAAACTGCACAGCCTACTGCTCAAAATCAGGAAACAATAAATGGGCGAAGGGGTGGACGGAAGCCATCCCTCCTTCACCTCCCCTTCCCTCCAATCTCGCCGTCTATTGTTTCAATGCCTGATCAACTTCTCCTTCTCTGAATACTACGCATGGGAGGGCAAGATCATTTGGCTTACTACACGCTCAATTTTGCTACAAACTTATTTGAGTTGGGAGGGGTGGAAGATACAAATACGGCCAAATAGCAAAGAGCTCCTTCAGTGCTCCATCGAAGGAGAGTGCCTATCCTTTAGAGCCAGTTGCAGGAGGAAGTTCTGATATTTCCTACTGCCCGGGGAGTATTCCTATCCTGGCAGCAAAATAAGATACATTGCCTTCGGATGAGTCAGCCCCACACCTTATCCTTACATTAATCCGAGATTATCAGTGGCAGACTTTTGAGTTTAAAGCGCTGGAAGGCTTCCCTGTTGCCTGGACTCATCGCATTCCAAGCAAGGATACGGGATACAACAGACTTCCCCAAACTCGAACTCTCCAGATGTACTGACCCGCAACTCCCATCAACCCCAGCCCACATGACGAATGCACACTGGGAGTGATGGGGATTGAAGTCCAACCTATCTAAAGGGCACCAAGTTGGTGAAGGCTGGGATAGAGGAATATCCCCAGCCAGCCAGCCCTGGAGCAGAGAGATCTGCACGGAAGCCCCCACCGTCCTCCCCGCCAGCATTCGCGCGGTGTCCTTCGAGGTTTCCCAGTTCCGCCCATGCCGGAGGAAGGCGGACTTCACTCACCAGCTCTGGGAACAGCAGTATCGCAAGGGAGCGTCAACTCCGATAAAAGCAAAGGAAGCAAATGTCGCCTTCTGATTGGCTAAAGGCGGTCCGTCTCGTCATGGTTCCCACCTACCCCTCCTACCAGGCCCAGCGTCTGAGAGGATGAGCCATGCTGTCCATCACAAGGGAAAACCTGTCAAATGAAGCGGTGAAAAAGCGATAGAGGTACGCGGGTGCATGTCCGCGGAAGGGCCGTCTTCAAAGTAGGCCAGCCGAGAAATGACACACGCATGCGCCGTCAATCTGCTGACCCCTAACCCCTTGCACAGCGGAAAAAAAAGCACCCCATGCTGCCTTCCAGAGAAGCTTGCGCATGCGTGTGTTCTTGGAGCTCATCTCCTGCCAGTAGGTGAGTGAGCTTCTCCTCCAGTGATGCGTTTAGCTGCTTGGGAGGAGGGAGCGGAGCTTTAATAGGTTAATACCCGCACGCGAGCGAGACCGTCAGGGTCAGGGAGCTTCTCTGAGGCTGGTCCAAGGCGGGTGCTTAGTCCGTTGCAACAGAGTCTTGTGGCACCTTAATTAAAGACTAAGCTATGCCCGGCTCGACAGGTGCGTGAAGAGCTGGTCACTAAAGCTGGCTAGGGGACTCTTTACTCGCTCTTAATAGTGAACTCAGATGTGAATGCGGCTGACCATGTAGCCAAAGTAGGGCCGCAGAGGGCAAGGCAGGGCTGTCAGGAGACTCGGTGGTGCGGGGATATTGAGGTTCGCAGAAGTACAAGAAGTCTTCAGAAACAAAGTCTAAACAAACCTACCGCAAGCAAGTCCAATGAGGAATGAACATGCTGAGTAGCCGCAGAGTACTGGTTGTCACTTGGTGGAGGGGAGGAAAACCCGTGGGGAATGGGGAGGTGGGGTGAAGAAGAGTATTTTGGTGCAGCATATGCCTAGTTGACTGAAAGGAAGCTTTTCGTAGGTCTTAAATTCAGATGATGGTATGATTTCAGCCACAACAGACCAGAAAAAAGAGAAGGGTATTGGTATGCCTGGGAGAACTCCCAAGTTATTAGAATTACAAAATAAGTTTTCTAAAGACCCAAACAGGGGCAAGCTCTGTTACTGTAGCTTGCACCGGCTTGATGCCCTCTAGACTTTGACTTCCAGCAGCCCCAGCCAGAAGGGGCAATGCATGGGCAGGAATGCTGGGAGTTGTGCAAACATCTGGAGGTTGTACTTGCATTCTGTTTGCAGGTCTCACTTGTACAAGTTTATGTTATAAATGAGGGAACAGTCACAAAGCACCAGACTTTCTTGATGAGTAATTACCAGTGATTTTGTAAGGATGTTCTCAAAATGACTTAAGAATAAATATTTAGAGGGGTAGAGTTTCTCCACCAGGACCCCTTATTCAGGTCTAAGAATGGAGATGGTGAGGAATCTACCTTTACTACTAGTAGTTACTGGTGGTAGGGAATTAATTGAATGATTTCACTTCAAATTAATCAAAACCCATTTTCTAAGCTGGGCTGCTCCAACTTAAAGTTAGAGGTGTATATCAGAGGTATGCAATATGGAAGTGTTGGCTGAAAGGGGTTTTATTTGTCTATTTATTTGTTTTTGTGAAAGTTACCACACCAGATTGCTCCCAGCCAACCCAGAAAACAGATGCCACAGTGGAACAATTCTGAAGATGCTCTGGAGGCTTTTGAGATTCCTGGGCTCTGTCAGACTGAAATGAGCAGGACAGGAGAAGCAACTGATGCAGTCTTTGCTTCCCTGATATCTGTTTTTTGCTTGCTTCTAGGCAGAATTTTCTTCACCTTCTAGCAAGCTTTCTCCAGCAGGGAGAAAGGGAGGCATGGACAAATTGTATCCCCCTGTCTTCACCCACTAGAATGCCACCTTGACCTCCTTTCTAAGGCTGAGTGTCAGACCATGAGGAGACAGCCAGTGTATTTCTCTCTGTGCCAGCTGCAAGGAAGGGAGGAATGGGTCTCTGACCTCAGCCAGGGAAATCTGAACTTTCCCATGGGGCTGAACTTTCACCCCAGGGACTGATCAACTTCTTCAAGATGAGCTTGTGCTGTCAGTTTTCTGCATTGTTTGACCCTGTTTCTACCTTTGACTTCAGTGTATTGGATCTTTTGCAGGTATCACCATGGATGTCAACAGCAGAATTGAGTGTATCTTTTTCAGTGAATTTCACCCAACACTTGGGCCTAAAATAACATATCAGGTCAGTAGTACTAATATTTTTCTTATAAACTGGATGGTATAGGTACTGCTGTGGGGCACTGAAGAATTTGCCTGCACCAGGTCAGACTGTTTGTGTATCTAGCTCAGTACAGAGCACTCTGTCTAGCAATGGCTCTAAGATATCGAGCAGGAGGTCATGCCCATTCCCTGCTTATTGTACTGTTTATGGAGATACCTGGGGTTCTGCATGCAAAGACTGTGCTCTCCCACTGTTGCTTGATCCTTCCGTGGGTGAGGTATCCTTCCAAAGCACATCAAAGTGGCTCCTTTTTCTGAACCTATCCCCTCCAATTAAAAAGAAAATCACTCTTCTTTAACATTAAACTGTATACTTTTGCAGTGCCAGAGCGTGTTTAAAAATCCAAGCTGCTACCTATGATTTTCCCTGTAGTGTGGCTTTTTCCTGAGCAGCCAAGCCACTATACCTATACACAGGGGTCAAACAAAGTATTACTACTACAGAAAGTATGGATAAAAAAATAAAAGAAGTTTCTTCAGATGAGAGGGAAACAGGCCTATAAAAGCATTCTCGGCAATATTGCATCTGTGTAGAACCTGGTCTTTCCCTGGAATCAGCAAATCTGCATTTTGTCTTTTTATTAATTTGCAGTTATCTCTTTTTACCCTACAGGTACCAGAGGATTTCATCTCCCGAGAGCTCTTTGATACAGTTCAGGTATATATAATCACCAAACCTGAACTGCAAAACAAGCTTATTACAGTGTAAGTACCTTTATTTTTTTAAATACTTAGCCCTGTGAATGCTGGTGGCCTTTTTATATTATTGTTATATTGCTGTTTTAATCTTTTAATTTTTAAGATTAATTTTAACATGTTGTTATTTATATATATGTTTAATATGTTGTTTTAATATGTTTATGAGGTTGTAAGCTGCCTAGGAAGGCCTTTTTGCAGTTTTAGGCAGCATATAAAAATGTGCATAAATATAAATAAGTACTACTTCACTGAGCCTTCACTTCTCCTATTAGAAATCAAATACTCTGTCCTCCATTGTTATATACCATCATTTTGGAGACGGAAAATTCTGTTGACTTCTGCGAACTTCTTTCTAATAGAGCTGGGCCGTGAGGGAATGAGTTTGGAGGTTTGCCATGTAGTCAGTTTAGTAAACTGCATGAAGTTAAAATTAAAGATCTAAAGCCAACCACAAGGACATATTGTGTAATTTGAAATGTGCTAGCATAATGAAAACAAGACCAATAGGAAGCAAGTTCCAGTCCATGACAGTAAGAAAACTCTACCAACTGGAAGTGAGCAAATCTCCCCTGAGCTGATGCACTCAAAAAAAGCCATGCCCCTGTCAGCCTGTGTACAGTTAGCAGCCAGGGTGCTGAGCACATGCAGTCCTGTCAGGTAATTTGCAATTGGCTGACCAGCTGGGAAGGGCTAATCCACCCCCAAGTCCAGAAGATCTCTGTATGCCCAGCCCCGACTGCTGGATTGAACGCAGCAGCACATTTGTACCACCCACATGTGCACCTCCTCTTTCTCATCCAGTTAAGGATGGCCATGTAGACACTTGCTGCTGTGTGTGCCTGACCCATAGCCAGATTGGGAACAAAGGTTTGGGTTACTCGATCAAGCAGGGCTGTCGTCTGTAGAGGAACATTTCCGGAAGACTATTATATACCAAGGAGATAGGTGGTGTAACACAATTGCCTTCTATTCCTGCCTCACCTGTGGAGATTCAGTTGAGGCCCTTCGGCATGCAAAGGAAACCTCTTGCTAATTAGGATGGTACAGCACTGGAATGCAGGAAGGTAAACAGTGGAGCTTTTCACCATGAGAGCCGGGAACAGCAGATGTGGCCAGTTAACTGTTTTGACTCTTAGATTTAGGGTAGAGAGAGAAGCCGTGTGACCCAGCCTGAGCAAGTTCCAGTGTGAGATCTAGCCGAGCAAGGAAGGTGACAAGAACTAGGGCTTTTTCCTTGTTGGGCGGGGGGGGGGGGGCGCAACGGCCGATAGAGGGAAGCCAGCTTACTTGGTATTGTATTTCCTTTTTCATGTTATTATGTCTGTTTACATTGTAGTGTCTGTTTTAGAATAACATTTTTAGACTTTAATTCACCTGTGCGCACATTGCTTCTGGATCCAAAAAGAACCTTTTGCCCTTGCATCGTCTTCTTTCTTCTTCTTTTTGGGAGGGATCCTCAGTGCATAAAACTAGTTGGGTAGCTTCTGCAAAACTAATGCATGGCAAGAGTGGATGGTTGCTTGATAAATGGCATACTGTTACACAGCACGTTGAATGCTGCCAAGTGGCATAAAAGTATTACTTATGGTTTTATGTTATTTCTAACAGCACAGCTATGGAGAAAAAGCTAATCGGTTGCCCAGTTTGTATAGAACATAAGAAGTACCGCCGGAATGCCCTGCTTTTCAACCTTGGCTTCGTTTGCAATGCTCAAGCTAAGACGTGTGCACTGGAACCAATTGTGAAGAAATTAGCAGGTTATCTTACTACTCTAGAGGTTAGATCAAGCATAAATACTCTGTCTCATGTGTCTTTGCCCAAAGTTGTGTATAGATTATGTGTGGTAATGTGGAAGCTCCCTAGTCTCCCCACATTTCTTCTGTTGTGTCATGATCAGTGGTAAGCCAGATTTTTCAGAATTTTAATGAGACATTGGGTGGCACCTGATAAACTTTGGAAATGACTGCCCAAGCATGTAATCGGTACTATTATGATAGATGTGACTGCCAGAAGTCCCTGTTGGACCTGTAGTGTCATCATTGGTGGCCAGGCAAAGCATTCCTGCTGTCCCTTGTACATGCAGTTTTGTAATTATTTTTAAATAGGACAACTGTGGGTGTTCATCTGCTTTAGCCCACAGGTACCCTTGTGGTCTGTTAAAAAAAAAGAATGCAGCCAGCTTGCTTCCTGCAACCGTGTCTTGCCATTTCAAGAACCTTTCCTTATTAAACAACAACAACAACACACACACACATTTTCAGTGCTGTAGATTTACTCCGTCTTCCCAGCTAGTGCAGATTTGTTTAAAGAGTCAAACAGTCTTCTATCTTGCTTCAAAGCTGCTCCCTTACAGGGAAGGTTCTAGGCTTCTGCCCACTCCCCATTACATTTGTGTACCAGTATCACACAACTCTTGCAGGATTGGTGCAGATGCCATAGTAGCAGGAACAGAGAGGTTGCTTCCATTGCCATATAAGCAGGTTAGTTGATGCTGTGAAAATATATACACACATATTTTCCATGAAGTCATTTAATTCTCTTAAAGTGTGGTAAACACTCATTCCATACTGCTGATGGCGCATTTAAGGTTTTGTTTGAAGCTGATTGAAGGCTTTGTTCTTTCCTAGCTTGAGAGTAGCTTCATTTCCAACGATGAGAGCAAACAAAAGTTGATCCCCATCATGACGATCCTGCTTGAGGAATTGAATGCCACAGGCAAATGCACTCTGCCTATAGGTATAGTCCACAAACTCATTGTTGCAGAACGTAACTTGAAAAGAAGCATATCAAGTCACAAGCTTGAGATTGTTGGGGGAAGTAGCAGCTGGGGACATTCAGAGCAGGGAAGAACATCCCTTTTGGACTAGATCCTCCTTTTCTGTTTCTTGTGTATTAAAACCCAGATGTGGTTTGGTTCCTATAGAACATCCTTCCTCCACCTGGTTTGGAAGGAGGTTTGGGACTTCAGCATCCTTCAGCCCCAGCAAGCATGACCAATGATCAGGAAAGCTGGGAGCTGTAGTCCAAAACATCTTGAGGGCACCAGATTGGAGTACCTACTATAAAATATGGTACTGTTCAAGAGCAGGAAAAGGTGGTAAATTGTATTAAATCCTGTCCCGATGCTGTTGAGCCTAGAGTTATCAAAATTTCAAAGGAACTGTGCAAAGATCTATGAAAAGATAGACTCTAGTCCTGTTTAAGGAAGTTCTGGTTAGCATAACTAAATATTTGTGAAATGCAAAACCCTTTATTTCTTATACAGTGACTCACACTATAAATGAGTATGGTGAAAAAAGAGGATCTCCTGATTGGTCCTGGCTTGAATAATCTGAATTTAGCAGCATCTGATGCTGTGAATCGATCTGAAGCCCTCTTGTGGTTCTGGGTTGCCAGGCAACCTTGTTGGCCTCTGGGTTCACGAGGCATCTTTTAGCTCACCCCACCTGTCCCTGGCCATGCATCTGGCCACTCTTCGCTTAAGAACCAAGCAGCTCACTCAAGTGCAGACTCCCAAGAATTCAGCTAAGGTATTTTTGCTTTAACCCTTGAGTAATGTTCACTCATGTGATTGCACATAGTGGAACTAGCCTCTTGTGGCATGTAAGTAAGCTCTTCATCTCAAAGAGCAGTGCAGAGCCTTTTGTCTCCAAGAACAAGCGAAGCTTCTTGTGAGAGTGCTTTCTTGTAATGAGTTCTCTCTTTTTACAGATGAATCAAACACCATTCACCTGAAAGTGATTGAGCAACGCCCAGATCCCCCCATTGTGCAGGAATATGATGTTCCTGTCTTCACCCAAGACAAGGATGATTTCTTCAATTCCCAGTGGGACCTCACCACTCAGCAGGTTGGTCCACGGCACTGGGCAGATCTTGGATCCCACGTTTCCGTTTTACACAATGCTGTCACGGCAGCCCAGAAGGGTGGGTGGGGCATAAATCTCTCTCTTTCTCATACTCTTGCAAATCTTACTTGGCCTCAGTGATTCATGAGGCAGGGCCAGGGGAGCAAATTGCCACTGGAATGTGGCAATTTCGGCAGTTTTGTTCTACGCGTGCTTAACAGGGCTCATTTCTGAATAAGTATGTACAGGCTCAATTGCATCTTCACTGGGGCAATATGCCTTTAATTCAGTGGAAGTTAAATGGGATTTATTTCCAAGTAAGCATGTACAAGAGTGCAGCCTTAATGTCTTAGGTTTGGTGTGGTCTAGACAGCAGTACATGGCCCCATTTCCATGCAATGGCAGCAAATTGTACCACTTATGAGCCCTTCTGTTTTGCATAATCAAATTACAGTTGAGTCAAGTGTAAGTTGTTGTGTGCTATGCACACAAGACACTTTGGATTGCTTCTGGTTCGAACAACTAGAAGTTAGCCCCAAAACTAATCACAAGTTAACTTTGGTTGTTTAACTCATGAACAGCCCAAAGTGACTGGGTTCACATGTTACACAACAAACTACAATCAAGCTAATTGGAAGTAGATTATGCAAACTAGAACTGTTGTAAGTTAATTGATCCATAATTTGCCACCATTAGGTTCAAACAGGGTGTGTGAGTGTTTTTTTCTTTAACAGACAATCATGGTCTCTTCTGTTTACTTAGTTTCTGAATAATTATAGATTAGCACAAATAACACAACTCTTCTACAAATAGTTAAATCCTTGTGAATAATTTTCCTATTAGAAGTGTCTCTGTTAATAGAAATCTGTAAACTCTAGTCACAGACAACTCCAAATACTGCTGAAATGTGGTAATAAAAATACAATATAAATACTACAACTTGAAAACAACTTCCCTTCCATTTAGATATTTGATAGGATCACACATGTATCATAGTATATACGAGAAAAAGTATCCTTTATGTTCAGTTTTATAGAATAAATAATACACTTGTGTGCAACCATTGTTAGATACTAAGCTTTCATAGTATGTTTTACATGAGGGATGGACAGAAACTAGATCTGGGTCTATTGGTTACTCTCTGGAAGATCTGCAGTAGATCTACACAGATTTCTAATTCCCAGTTTGTTTAACTATAGCAACAACAAACTCACCCTATCCCCCACTGACACACACACACACTTCCTCCTGAATATGCTGCTGGAAGTAAGAAAGCTTAAGGTAACCAAAAGTGAATTTTGTGAGCTCCATTCAGGCTTGTGAGGTCAGATCAGTTCTGATATACAAAACAAATTCTGGACTTGGGATTCTCCAGTTGTAAAGGCTATAGTTAAAAAAAATACCCTGAAAGTCTAAAGTCTCACTTCTTACATAATTATCATATTTTAAAGTTAAGGAATCTCCTTTGCAGAGGGAGTTCAGCTGTCACTTAATCCTTCTACAGGCTTGAGCAGAAGAATCCATCTTCTGCTTATGAGATTAACTTATTTATTTGTTTATTTGTTTGATTGATTGATTTATATCCTGCCTTTTCCTACAAAGGGCTCGAGGCAGCTTACATCTCCTCTTCCATCTTATCCCCACAACAACAACCCTGTGAGGTAGGTTGGGCTGAGAGTCTGTGACTGGCCCAAAGTCACCCAGTGGGCTCCATGGCTGAGCGGGGACTAGAACCCAGATCGCCTGAGTCCCAGTCCCACGCTCTTAACCACTACACCACACTGGCTCTTTCACAGTTCTGTTTGTGAAAATGCCCTGTTCTTCTGTGTGCATGCATCTGTGCTCAGACTTGCTTTACTGCACACACTTTCTTCCTAGATCCTCCCATACATTGATGGATTTCGGCATGTTCAGAAAATTTCAGCTGAAGCAGATGTGGAGCTCAACTTGGTCCGAATTGCCGTCCAGAATCTTTTGTAAGTGCCAAGTGCAAACAGCAGAGAGAGCTTCTGGGCTTGATCATAATGAGTTAGAATGTTTATTTACAAGAGATCACAGCTCCACTGCTTTCCTATTCTCTGTGCTTTATATTCTGCCCCATTTTCAGCCCTTCTTAGAAATGCTTCTCCATTTAGAAGGGAAATAATCTAAAATACATACAATAAACCATCTGACTTTGAAAATAGGTCAAACTAGTTGTGACACTGAAATGTTACTATGTGGTACATCTGTTTTTAAGAAGAGGTATGTGGGAGCCAAGTGTTTTGTTTTGTTTTCTTCATTAGGACAACCCATGGAAAAGTTTAACCCTTTCT